TCTAAATTTTCAAAAGAAATCTTAGTTGAATGTTGAATCAATATAAGATTTTATGTATTGGCTGTGGTGTTTTCTACTCTTACATCCGATATCTAAATACTCTCACTCTCTTTTATATATAGCAAACTAGATGTTCCGAGTTCTGAATTTATCAAGCTTATGTTTTTTATATAAATGGACTAAGAACCTTTAATCTTTATATAAGAAAGATCTCGAGCTAGAAAATCTATAATTTAGTTAAAGGGATAATTCTAATTACTATTTGAGGAGATATTCTTAAAAAATATATTATCTAATTTATGATTTTCTCCTTCAATCAATATTCCAGTAGATAGTTTTGAGTCCTCTATGTATAGGTCCTAGGAAAAATATGATGACTTGAATATTTTACTTTTATTAAAACATCTTTGGAAATTATCCAAAAAATAGGCATCTAACGATGATTAGTAACATTCTTAAAGGTATTATTTGTTATGATAACCTTCATTTTATCTGTTCTATCTTTTAGATCAATATAAGACCAGCCATATACACCATATATCGTATTTTGGAAAATGTTACCCGTTATTTCAACTGTAAGATTAGCATAACCTGACTTAATGTACTCTATCTAGATCAAGTTATTCTCATAATATGGCAGCGAGCCATAATCAATGATGTTATCTTTGAACAAGATTCTTTTCTCAGCATGATCTTTTTCGCAGGCATCAGAATAATAAAAGTATATAGGACTAGAAGAAGAACTTATTTGATTTCCATAAAACTTGTTGTTAATAATATGAACATAGCCAAAGACATTATCGAAGTATAAGTTTGTTTATTGATTGTTATTGAATCCAAAAAAAGTGTTGTTCTCAAAAATCTAGATTAAACTCTATTCATATGTTTCTTCAATATTGGAGCAATTTAAACTGTAACTTGTTAAGTATGTAGTCACGAGATAAGTTTGATCGAAGTAACTATCACGTACATGGAAATTAAAGCCAGTAAGAGTAAACATGAATCTTTCTTTTATTCCAAAATAACAATTTGTCACATTTACCCATTTTTAACTATTAGGATTATATATAAGTGCTTTTTCAAAGCCATCGTTGGATAATGTGATTGCATCTCCAAAAGCTAGATTTGATAAAAGTAAAGTTGAATTCAAAACATAGAACATATCTTTTACATTCACCACCTCATTATCACTCATTAAACCTAATGAGTTCATCTTCTCATAATTGTATGGTATTGGAATTGATTCTATTAATGTCGGGTTAAAATTTGTTTCGCAATATTGAATTCGAGAATATTCACCTTCGATTTAAATAAAGAAGTTTGCAGGCATTTATCCATCATTATCTATTTTTGTTTTTTCCATTATTTCCTCCCAATCCATCGGATTATTACCTTAATAGGTCCTAAACAATGTAAAAACAAGAAATCTTACGTAATCGTAAAATTTTAATTCAGCATAACCAAAGGCATGTTTGAAGCAAATATGTAAAGAGGACTATTAGTTTTGACATTAATTGTAATATTGTATTCTTATTAATAAGCATTATTAAATATTTCTCTGAATGGATCATCAATTTACTTAAATGGATATTTTTGAGTTCCTAATTCGATTGATTCCTTAGACAAATTATCAACATAATACTAAGTTGGATCTATTTAACAATAAAGAGATATCTTAGCTTACCTCTGCAATAATTAAAAACTTAGCCATTGTACTATTCAAGCTCAGCAGTTTATATTGAAATTAGAGTTTCTGGGCATTCTAGATGACACTCTTAAGTTTCTAAATCTAAATACATGTTTCTATTATTGCAAAATAGACATTAGGCTTCATTGTTATTTTCAATGCATAATTTATCACATTCTTAAGGGCAATCTATTTTATCAAAGAAGGATTATTTCTTACCAAAGCAGCTTTATGAAATTTTGCTGAAATACTAATTTCATCCACAGTCTTATGAATTTATAATGCATATAGTCAGAGAGCCCCAAATTTATACAAGGGATAAGTAGAATTTAAGTTTATGATGAAAGTTTTTCATTATATATTATAAATTATGGATTATTGCGAATCATATTGATTGAAAATTTCCCTCTATGGGGTTTTGGGGTTTTGGGGTTTTGGGGTTTTGGGGTTTTGGGGTTTTG